GTTACATAACTTTGCTGTTTATATAGTGTAGATATATACTAATAAGCGGCTATGATGAGTTCATGGTGACATTTGTCGGCAAATGCGTACGATTGATTCGAAATGGACGGCTGTAAGTAAAGTGATCGAAAATGCAAATTGTGGGCTAAATATCATTTGGTGTAGGAACTACACACAATTTTGTGATCAGTCTTTTGAGTACGTTCTGAGATGTTCGAATTGTAGCACAGCGAATGAAACCATCGTCACCTGGATGAAGATCAATGATGCGACCCAAAAGCCATTGATTTATTGGGGACCTTTCGTCCTTGATGATGACTAAATCATGTTTTATGACGTTAGGCTGTCGACTAGGCTATTTGGTACGAATTTGCATGCTTGAGAAAATGTCGCTACGAAATCGAGTCCAAAAATGCTGCACTAATTGTTCCATGAGCTGATGTCTCTTAACTGGATTTTCAAATGTTGGTGGTTGTGGTCGATCAAGTAATGGACTTCCAATGAGGAAATGTCCGGGTGTTAGAGCAGTGAGATCATTTAAGCAGTCGCTGGTTGGCGATATTGGGCGTGAATTTAGAACCGCCTCGATGCGCTTCAGTACGGCTAAAAATTCTTCGAAAGTTAATTTTGTGATACCAATGATTCATGCTAAATGGAATTTCATGGACTTGACGGCCGCCTCTGCTAGTCCATTGAAGTGCGGTGCTCCAGGTGGACTAAAGTGTTATTGAATATTGCGAGTAACTAAATGTGGAATGACATCTGCCTGGATCGTTGCCTCAAATTCCTCTTTTGAACGTTTAAGGATATTCGCTGCTCCAATGAAATTTGTTCCACAATCACTATAAAGGTCATGACATAGGCCGCGAGTTGAAATAAATCGCTCAAAGGCATGTAAAAACGGTGGTGTGGATAAATCTCCTCCTGCTTCCAAGTGAACGGCTTTGGTTGTCATGCATGTAAATATGGCTACATATCCTTTATACGAAGATTGACCTCGACACTTTGATGCACGGCCCAGCATAATCAATAATAGTTGCAGCAAATGGTCTTGATTGATAACGCGATGAAACGGCAAAGAACCCATTAATTGATTAGAAAGAGTTGGCTTGTTTTTAAAGCATCGAACACATTTATGGATGAAATGACGTACAAAATTTCGAATGTTGAGAATCCAATAACGTTGACGTATTTGATTAACGGTAACCAAGGGACCTCCATGGAGTGTTTGCTTGTGATAAAAATCAACAATTAAAAAAACTATTCGATAGTTCGTTGGCAAAATGATTGGAAACTTCTCATCATATGATATGTATGCGTTGTGTAATCGACCATTTACTCGAAGAATTCCATTTTTGTCTATAAACGGGTTCAAGTGTATCAGTTTGCTTGATTTTGAAAGTGGTTGTTTTCGTAGTAAAGAATTGAGTTCAGAATAAAAATATTCCCCTTGTATCCATCGTATGATAGACAATTCAGCCTTTTCCAATTCTTGAACGGACGGTGGTGAAATTTTG